ATACAAAAATAATATATATAAAAATATATATGATATCTGTAGAAACAAATCTGCTTGCAGGCTTTTAATTTGATCAAATAGGTCATTTACGTCCTTGGATATAAATCGTATCACAATCTATTGAACTGTGACGTTGTCAGACTGTGACATGCTGCTTTCTCTTTTTATATTGATCTGTTCCCATTTGACAAAATTAAATGAAATTTGATTAGGTCAAAAGAAGCATCAAAGCAAATGTGCTTGAATTTAATTTTTTACTTCATTTTATGGCACCTTTATTTATTATTTTATAAAACTACTTTTATTTTAATTGCATTTTTACTGTAGTTTATTGTTGTCTGTACTTTATATGTTGTCCGTCTAAAACAGGTCTGTCTTGTAAATGAGTCCTTGTGACTTGATGAGTCAAGCTGAATGAACGAATGAAAAATCGGCCTGCCTTTTTAAATAGCAAACTGTTAAATTTACTACCAAAACCTGACGCAATAATGAAAAGCTTCAACTGAAAAACAAAACTGCAATCGATGAATGACAAAGAACAAACAGTTGACGTCTTGTAATTCTATTAATACCTTACATTACGAAGAGATGACAAAGTATATTAATTAGCGCAGGTTCTGCTCAGATTTAGCTTCCAGGCTGCTGCTGGAGATGCTAACGGCTGCTGCTGGTATGTGAACGCGACTACAGTTACACCAGATTTATTTTTAGATCAGAAGTTAATGATGGACAAGAACAACTGGAACACACATTCTGTGGTTAGACAAACATGCACAGAGCTATGCATGAAAAAAAAAAAAAAAACACACACACACACAAAGTTTAGTTCCTGTAAACTTCATTACAAGATTTATTTTTATGACTTACAATAGTCGATGCAGATATTTTCAGCTTCCATTTCTGTTTGAATGCAAACAAACAGTTTATTATCATTATACAGATGTTTTATCTCCTCAACCTTATTATGAGATCTTTAAAAGTGAGGTTCTGTGGAAAGGTTTATGAGCTACTACTATCTTACCTGCTGCAGATAACTATTTGAACAGCTTCAGTTTGGAGAAATAGTAGCAAGAGAAGGCAGAATTCAAAGTATTGTTTTCCTGTTCATTAAATTTTCCGTATTTATTATTATTATTATTATTATTGCAGTCCAACAACATTTGCATTATTTGTGCTATTTGAGTCATTTAAATATTCAGACGTTCAGCTCGTCCTGGAGATGGGAGCTTTGGCCTTTGTTTTTCGTAACCTCTGTACTCTTTAAAATAATTATTTTTCGCTGTATAAGTGGCACCTTTTTACATAAATTTTCAAGTCCTGCGACTTGTACACCAAAGCAACTAATATACATCCCCCACCCCCATATATTTATAAACCAATTTTTGGCCGAGATCTGACAATTTCATTCATTCTGACATGAAAAACATTGAATACTACCATTTCAGCTACTAGAGGGCCCTCGACTACTATGCAAAGCCAAGTGTCTCATTAATAGGTAAAAGTGACTTTTAATGAAACACTTGGCTTGCCATACCAAGCATCTCATTTATAGGTAAAAGTGACTATTAATGAGATGCTTGGCTTGCCATACCAAGCATCTCACTAATAGGTAAAAGTGACTATTAATGAGACACTTGGCTTGCCATACCAAGCATCTCATTAATAGGTAAAAGTGACTATTAATGAGACACTTGGCTTGCCATACCAAGCCACCTTCGTCTCGCTCTGGAACTCCTGGAGCAAACGTCAAATCAGCTGCATTTTGCCGCGCCCCCCAGGAGAAATGCAGCTGATTTAACCATTAAATTAAGCGACTTTCAGCCGAGTCTTTCTGCTTCAAGCATTTATGCTGCATTTGTGCAGAAACTGCTAATTTTTTTTTAGTTCTGACTAGATTAACAAGCTAACAGCTAGCTTCTTTATATTTGCATTGCTGTCAATTTAACATCACATATTTTAATGGTGTGAACTCTATGATCATTTGGAACCAGTAATAGTGGCAGCAGCAGCTAGCAATAGCATTTCTGGTGCAGCCAGGGGCACTTATTATAAGAATATCCTAATATTACTGTTGGAATAACTAATGTGAAACTGACGATTAGGCAGATATTTAAAAAAAAAAAGGCTAACATGAAATTGTAAAGAAGTTTTCAGACAACAGCAGTCTAAATTAACCGTTACCTCATCAATCTAATCCGAATTAAACTTTATTTCTACAAACTGAAGCTGTTCATCAAGTTATCTACAACAGGTAAGATATTAATTGTTCACAACCTTTCTACAGAATCCCACATCAAAAGATCTGATCTATCCTTTTCCATGAATCTTTAAATCCTGTGTGTAAACAAAGAAAGTTTTATTAATTTAAACAGTTTTTCTATTTGTCCCGTTTGTAAAAAATATAAATTTAACAAAAATCATGAACGTGCACGTTCAAAATTACGTGTTCAGACAAAATACAAATAGTTCTTCAGCTAACAGCTGCAGCCACTGCTCTTCAGACACATCTGCCCCTTCTGCTTAATAATAATCTGAGTATTTTCACAGCAAGCTGCACCGTCATGGGAGAGAGACAAACTTTATATGATTTAAATCATTTATTGAGACAGAAGAAACTCACAGTGACGCATAGAAACCTCAGCACACCAGATAATCTAACATCTCTCCATTACTGAGGAAAACTTCAAAATGTGTTGAGGAAATGTGAAGTTATGTGGTTTATAGAAGCAATACAAAGTGCAGGTGGATGGATGAAACTAAAAAAATCTTCCCAGTCCAGAAGCAGATGAACTTGACCAACTGTACCAGAATATTCACAGTCCGACGACGGGCATTTTGGACGGGGGGTGTCAAAGAATGTGTACAAAGTAAACAGTCTCACACAGCAGCAGCTGCTTCAGAGTTTGCTTTAGACCCGCTGTGTGGAGCTACAATGGACGCCACTGACAAGCTCAGGAAGACAAAGCGTCAAGTGTGACATCGACTCAACGTCGTGGAAGAAAACCCTGCTGTACACCCCACAATGTCATGTGCAGACGGTTGGCATGGCAACCATCAGAAAGGCATATGTGAGGGGGGGTCTATATATGACCCTGCTGTAGCAGCACAAAAGTACAGGCAAAGAACTGTAAAAAATCTACTTTACAGCTAAAAGGTGTTATTATTACAATCAAACATTGAAGGTTTAACATACAACTTAATGCGCGAGTTTAAAACTACAATCATTTTATAATATATGTTAAAAAAGTTACCAGGACCGCCTTCTTCCACCTGCGTATTATCACTAAAATTTTAAACGTCTTATCTAAAAAAGATGCAGAAAAACTGGTTCATGCATTTGTCACGTTTAGACTGGACTATTGCAATGGTTTGTTATCTGGGTGTCCAAATACTTCTTTTAAACATCTTCAGTTGATGCAAAATGCTGCTGCCAGAATCTTAACTGGAGTTAATGGGCGAGATCATATTTTTCCAGTATTGGCTTCTCTCCACTGGCTCCCTGTCAAATTCAGGATAGAATTCAAAATCTTACGTCTAACGTAAAAAGCGCTCAACAACCTAGCTCCATCTTATTTTCCTATATAAAACTTCTTTTCCTATATAAAACCGCCACCACTCCTATGGGGAGCGGTGGTGCAGAGGTTAGAGAAGGTGGGCCTGTGATCGGAAGATCGCCGGTTCAACTCCTGGTACTGACCACTTCAAAATGTGGGTGAGATTGGTGACAGTTCGCTGTGGTGACCCTTGAGGGAGAGCAGTCGAAAGAAGAAAAACAAGTTTTATATTTTCCTAACAGAGCACTTCGCTCTCAGAGTGCAGGTTTACTTGTGGTTCCTAGAGGTTCCAAAAGAAGAATGGAAGGAAGATCTTTCGGTGATCAGGCTCTTCTCTTGTGGAACCAACTTCCAGTTTCGGTCCATGAGGCTGACACATTGTCCAGTTTTAAGACTTTCCTTTTTGATAAATCCTATAGTTAGGGTTGGCTTGGGTTTCCTGAGCTATCGCTTGCTTATGCTGCTATAGGCTTAGACTGCTGGAGGACAAACTGACCACATGTCCTAACTCTGCTGCCGTCTTTACTTGCTCTTCTCTACCCGTTTGTATTTGTAATTATTCGTAACATGTTTTTTTTCTTTCCTCCTATAGAAAGTTCACCTGGACTATAGAAAGTACACTTGGACTATAGAAAGTACACTTGGACTATAGAAAGTTCACCTGGACCTATAATTCTGTGTTCATTTCTACTTCCTGTCAGACGGCCTCTCGTCCTGATCCTGGTTCTGCTGGACGTTTCTTCCTGTTAAAAGGGAGTTTTTTTCTTCCCACTGTCTCCTTCGTGCTTGCTCAGGACAGAAGACTGTGACAAAGTGAAGATTGAACACAATCTGCTGCGTCTTTAGAGATTAACTTTTACTAATTGGCTTTTTATGTATATGAATGTTTCTGTTCAGCGCCCTGAGACGACTTCTGTTGCGACTTGGTGCTGGATAAATAAACTGAATTGAATAATAATGTAAAGGAACAGTGTCACCTTGACCTTTGACCCTTTAACCTTGAAATCAACGAGGGTTGTTGTTAAATTAAGAACAAAGACAAATTGTCCACAGACAGAAGGCATGACATAATTTTAGGACATCTTAGGATGAAGTATAAATATATATTTTTTTATTAAATTGCAGCCATTTTTGTGTAGGTTAAGGTTGATTAGCTGTGGCGGCCATCTTGAATTGTGTTGACTCCAAAAGTTAAACGGTTGTTGGTTAAGTTTAACGTTTACCGTCTTTCACCGTTTTCCCTCCACTGGTTTCTAAAATGTTTTCTTGATGCTTCTAAAGTCCGAACACACGCACCGAAAGACACGAGGCGAAAACATGAGCTCCCTCCCACCTTTATCGACGGGTGGCCATAACTTTTTTAAATGTTTCAATTCAAGAATCAAGAGCTGAAAACCCTGAAGTGCAGGAAAGTAATCATCAATTAAAACTTTTCTTTATATAAAACTTAACGACAGAATAAAAAGGACACAAAAGTCACAAAAGACTGAAAATATGAGGGGAAAGTAAAAACAGCAACATGCAGAAAGAGCTCTGAAGAAAACTTATAAAAATGAAAATACCTTCTTCCACGTCAGAAAAATAGTCGTCTGTGATCATTTCAGGGACATGGGCTTTAAAGACTGGGTGTGGATGGAGGAGAGAGGTAGGGTAAAGTAAATAAATGAATAAATAAAACAAAAAGAAGCTAAATGAATTTAAATAAATCATAACTATAACAAAGAAAACAAGCAATTAATGATTGAGTACGTCAGATTGAAACAACTCATAAGTGATCAATGTGACAAAAACATTAATGGTGTGTAAACAATGTTGTGTTCTTGATTAAGACCCGGGGACAGTTTGTTGGACCGTCATTGTTTTTTTTTTGTTGTATTTTAATGTCTTCAGCTGTTAGGGGTTTGTGAACGGATTTAAAGTCGGGTTTGAAGCTTACCGTCGTCGTCGGACATGTCCAGCACCTCGTTCATGGTCTCTGGGACGTTCATCTTGTGCTTCTCTATCACGGTCTGTCAAAAATAAACAAACACAAATTAAAATAAATAACAGCAGTAAACAGTTAATATCAAAGTTCAAGGTACTTTATTGTCATTCACATCACATGTGGTACATGAGGTGGAACAAAACTGTGCACTCAAGGTTCCATTTACACCCAAAAATATAAAAATATAAACTATAAAAAAAGAAACGGTGTACAAAGATTTAAGATGTACGTTAAACACTAGTACCGTAGTCCCTCGCTACTTCACGGTTCGTTTATCGCGGACTCGCTCTGTCGTGGTTTTTCAAAATAAGACTGGACATGACACACAATAGGCTGATGGATGGATGAGCCGCACGATCGGCATGGAATTTTATTTAAAATGAATTATTTTAAATTATTTAGCAGCTGCTGCACCTGTGTGCAGCTCACAGCTGCAGGAGAAGCTTGTCATGATCTCAGAAGTGGGCGTGGCCGAGAGCACTGGCAGGGAGCTGAAATCATGACATTCTGTGCTCTTTTAGCGTGTTTAGAGTTTAGAAACATTGTAGTGTGGGAAGGGTTTAAAACACCTTTACGTATATACCTGTATATAAATACTAAAAAAAAACTTACTACTACAGTAAATACTAAAATAAACTACTACTTACGACTAAATTGTGTACGTAATTCGTTCCATGTCGTGTAATGACAAAGTTAATTTGAACTTGATGGTGCTCAGATGGTTTCTGGAGTCCGCCCTCTCCCAAACCGACTCGACTGAGGCCGTCATGGCCAAAGTGGTTCAAAATATCCATTTTGAAATTTGAAATTTTCTACCTGGATTATTGAGCATGAATCAGGATGTTCTGAACCACTTTGGCCATGACTGCCTCAAACGAGTCGGCGGGGGAGAGGGTGGACTCCAGAAACCATCTGAGCACCATCAAACTGGTTGACCCACTATGAGAAGGTGCTATTTATAAGAACGAGTTTGTTGTGGCTCCTCAGACTGAATAAGTCTTTTGGATGAAAGACGAAACGTTTCAACGAAAAGAAAGCGTCCAGAGGACCTGACTCAACTTTGTTGGATTCACTCCACAGTGGTAGAAGAACTGTGCCTCCAATGATTGCTTTCACTGTTTCATGAGATATTTTGCTAACAGACACACCAACACACTGACATGAACTACATGATGCTGAAAATGTGGGATTTATTTTTATTTTTATAAGAAATCAGTAAAAGCAGATGATAAAGAGCAAGTGAAGTTTCATTTGACCCACTAAACTGTCTGATGACCAATTTTAACATGAATGAATCAGAACAACGCTACAGAATTAATTATTTCAATATTGACCAGACTTGTCTCGGACTTGGATTTAGTTTTAATTTTGGTCCCTTGTAGATTTAGGTTCTGCAGATCCTGATCTCACGTTTTGTCCCTTAAGGGACTGATTTTGGAACGTAAACATTTCAGTCATCCACTCCAAAATGTGCCATTCGGTTTGAGCAGACAGAATGTGAACAAGAACCAGACCTGAGTGGTTAGAGTCTCCTCCGTGACCACCTTCAGCGTGTCCACCACCGAGATGTAGCCGAGTCTCCTGGCGATGGACAGAGCGCTGTTCCCATTCTGGAAACAAAACCAACGGCAGAAAAAATAAAATGAAAACTAGAAAAAGACGTTTCTTTGAAGACGCTGTCTGACAGCTGAATGGCTGATGAAATTTGAAAGTTTTCAAAAAGAAGCAAAACTTTAGCTAATGCTAACAAAGCAGAACACTTGCTAAAAAAAAGCAAAGCACCAGCTAAATGTTAGAAGTAGCAAAAGGCTAGCTAAAAGCTAAAAGAAACAAAAGTTTAGCTAAAAGGAGCAAGGCGCTAACTAAACGCCATAAAAGCAAAAGGCTAGCTGGTAGCAAAACATACAAATACAAAGGTTAAAAGCTAAAATAACAACAAACAAACAAAAAAAACTAACTAAACGCTAAAGCTGGCAGAATAGTAGCTAAAGTTAAAGTAGCACAAATCCTAGCTAAAAACTAAAATAGACAAAGGCTAGCTAAAAGGTGACGTAAACATTAGCTAAAAGCAACAGGCTCACTAGAATTTAAAAGTAGCAGAATGGTAGCTAAAGGCTAAAAGCAGCAATAAACTTTAGAAGCTAAATGTAGCTGAACTGTAGATAGAAGATGAAAATAACAGAATTAAGGATGCACGGTATTGAATTCTATCTATCTATCTATCTATCTATCTATCTATCTATCTATCTATCT